CTAACTTTAGCTTCTGACATTTTTATTATTGTATTTAACTCTGTTTTCTCTCTGTCTTGTTAGCGTAGTACAGCATGGGCTATGTGATTCTGCCATGGGGTAAGTCTTTTGTGACTGTGTCATTCAGAGCATTGGGGGAATTGTGTGTGTGTGTGTGTGTGTGTTTGTATTTGTACATGAGAAGTAGGACCGTTTTTTATTTAGTTACACATGTTTTCATGCTATACAGGAGTAACACAGGAAGAGACATTAAAACCATCAAATCACTGCGTGTTCTCAGAGTATTGAGGCCTCTTAAGACTATTAAAAGACTTCCCAAACTCAAGGTATGTGAACATGAAAGGAATACACAACCGTTCAAAAGTCAGGGGTCAAAAGGTTTGTTTGTTTGTTTTGAAAGAAATTAATACTTTTATTCTTTATGAATGCATTAAATTGATCAAACATGACAGTGAAGTGTTACACAAGATTTCTATTTCAAATAAATGCTGTTTTATTTAACTTTCTATTCATCAAAGAATAAAAAATGTATCACAGTTTCCACAAAAGCATTAAGCAGCACTCCTTTTTTTAACATTGATAATAATAAGAGATGTTTCTTGAACAACAAATGAGCATAGTAGAATTATTTCTGAAGGATCATGTGTTTTTACTGTAGTTTTGATCAAATAAATTCAGCTTTGGTGAGCATAAGAGGTTTCTTTAAAAAAATAAACATTTTTAAAAAATATTTTTGACCCGTGTGTGTGTGTGTGTGTGTGTGTGTGGGTACAAATCTTTGTTGAATTGTACGACATTACTGGATTAGGCAATTAGTTGAATACTTGATTAGTTGAACAGTGTGTGTGTATCTACGTTGTTCATTTTGAATTATTATTTGAAGTTGATTATTTGACAAATGTGGTCAGCAAAGCAGCAGAATGAGATCAATGGGATAAGAGGGAAGGTGATGAAACTCTCTTGCCATGTGTGAAAAGACTACATTAGTATTTTCAGTTCCCAGTCCTCACAGTCTGAAAGAGCTCTCAGTGTGTGTGTGTTTAGTGTCTTGGGTTTGTGGTGTAAGAGGTGGAGAAAGAGCCAGCAGTGCCTCTCAAAAAAGAGGCAAAGTGATAAAGTGTGAGAGACAGATTTAAGAGACAGACGGACAACTGCTTTTCTAAAGTAGAGCAAATTTCATTAGAGACTTAAGTGTTGCAAATATCTCAGCTGGGAAAATATAGCTTTTTTAACTGCTTTAATTTTGTACTGACCATTACAATAACACTTTAGCACAACAGTCAACTGAAATATTTAGAATATCACCAAAGAATGGTAAAATAAGTCCGTTTTACTGTACATACACAGATTTTTGTCAGTCCATATTTTTGTGCATGCATAATTTCAGTTATAAAGCTGAAATAAAATATGAATATTACAAGAAAAACATAAACGCAAAAAAGTTGAAATTCTAAAATTACCAAAATAAAAATGAAATAACAATAAAGTTAAACAGAAATTATAAAATTGTCATTATCTCCCATTGTTCTTTCTCTCTTTTTGATTTGCAGGCTGTGTTTGACTGTGTGGTCACATCGCTAAAGAATGTCTTCAACATCCTCATCGTCTACAAGCTCTTTATGTTCATATTTGCAGTCATTGCAGTGCAACTTTTCAAAGGGAAATTTTACTACTGTACCGACAGTTCCAAGGACACAGAAGACGAGTGCAAGTGGGTGCCCATTACATCTGCAATATAAATTCTAAATATAATGCTAAAATTAATTTTAAAGCTGCTCAGACATTATTCAAAGCTCAGAAGACTTTAGAAAATGTCCATTGCTGCTATGAATAGAAGAATGACATTTTAGGAGTGCAAAATCTTCTCTGCAAATGATGTGGAAAATGTTTTTTCTTAATGTTTTATAGGGGTTACTACATTGACTATGACAAAGACAAGAAAAAAGAGAAACGAGAGTGGAAGAGACGTGATTTTCATTATGATAACATCATGTGGGCTTTGTTGACTCTCTTCACTGTATCCACTGGGGAAGGGTGGCCGCAGTAAGAGCGAACTTTATTACATATGTTTTCACACTGTATCATTTTGACACACTTATTAACACCTTAAGGAGATTAACATTCTACTTAACACCTTTCTAGAAGCTGTGCTGATATTTGCATGTTCAGAAACTCACATTTTCACCTTCTAGAGCAGTGGTTCTCAACCTTTTTTACTACAAGGCCCCTCTCCTCTCCACATCAATACTGCTATGCAAGCATATTTTACAAAAACTTAAAAGTACTTACTCTGCTCAGTTATACAGTAATTTCAGAACTAATCACACCAAAATACAAATGAAAAATAAAAATTAATGTTTGGAAACTGGGTTGACATCACCAGTGAACAGTTCCTCTGTCAGAACAAGCAGTTGTGTCTACGTTTGGAGTGTCTGATGCCCATATGTACATAAACACCACTGATCCTCACAAACTTCTCCAAAACTTCTTCGATGAGCATCCATTATTAAACACTCACAGTACATTAATTTTGACAGCTATGTGTATATATTTCAATGTTCATGCAAAAATACGATACAACTCACACATGTTTTGTTTGTACATCAATAATAACAGATTCATGTGCACCTAATGTACGACTCCTGTATGTCACTGTACTTTGATTATAGTCATCATCAATCAAAACTTTACTAGTGGTTTGTTTTATCCAACCAAGAGCTGTAATTTGCGTATCATATGCTCCTGCGGTGGTTGGGTGTTTTGAGCTGCTGTTTGTAGCAGAGAGAGAGGTGGTGCTTTGTTAATTTTTTTATTTAACATATAAATTGTAAACTTAATGAATAATATGAATATATTTCATTTTAATTTATCTCATGGCCTCTCTGGAGAATCAGTGATGCCCCATAGTGGCCCACAGCCCCCCCCATTTTTTTACCCCTAAACGAAGAACGAAAAAGAACTTTGTTTTGAGTATATCGGGGCCTTAAGACATGTCAGATAATACATTGCCAACAAACCTGAATGCTCAACAAGGCAAAAAGGGGTAGAACTGATGCATATTTTTCAGTCATACATAAATAAATCAGGTAAGATTTCTGTAATAACACTAGTAAACAGAATGTTTAAATAGTGTTTTAAATATGCAGTAACCTTTTGTTGTATCTGATATTTCAAAAATCATTGCTTGCAGCACCTTTAAGCCACACTTGTGTGAATCCCATTACATTAGATTAATATCAATTCAAGTTCAAATCAACTTCACTTTTCTGAGCCTTTTTTTTTTTTGCAGTGATTTTAAACCAACTAGTCTATAGGTGATTTTAGTATGTGTATGAAGTCAGCTCCCCTCAAGTTCGGACAGGTGTCCTAGCAGAGTAACCACATATGTGGTTCATCACATTAACTATTCACATGTTCCACTAATGTTTGGCAGCCAAAAAGTGTCCAAATACTATATATCATAGATAAATGTATAAAGTTTTGTCTGTTAACAAACTCTTTGGTATTGTAGAGTTTTGCAGCACTCTGTGGATGTGACCGAGGAGGACCGGGGTCCCAGTCAGGGAAACAGAATGGAGATGTCCATCTTTTACGTCATTTATTTTGTGGTGTTCCCCTTCGGTGGTTGGGTGTTTTGAGCTGCTGTTTGTAGCAGAGAGAGAGGTGGTGCTTTGTTAATTTTTTTATTTAACATATAAATTGTAAACTTAATGAATAATATGAATATATTTCATTTTAATTTATCTCATGGCCTCTCTGGAGAATCAGTGATGCCCCATAGTGGCCCACAGCCCCCCCCATTTTTTTACCCCTAAACGAAGAACGAAAAAGAACTTTGTTTTGAGTATATCGGGGCCTTAAGACATGTCAGATAATACATTGCCAACAAACCTGAATGCTCAACAAGGCAAAAAGGGGTAGAACTGATGCATATTTTTCAGTCATACATAAATAAATCAGGTAAGATTTCTGTAATAACACTAGTAAACAGAATGTTTAAATAGTGTTTTAAATATGCAGTAACCTTTTGTTGTATCTGATATTTCAAAAATCATTGCTTGCAGCACCTTTAAGCCACACTTGTGTGAATCCCATTACATTAGATTAATATCAATTCAAGTTCAAATCAACTTCACTTTTCTGAGCCTTTTTTTTTTTTGCAGTGATTTTAAACCAACTAGTCTATAGGTGATTTTAGTATGTGTATGAAGTCAGCTCCCCTCAAGTTCGGACAGGTGTCCTAGCAGAGTAACCACATATGTGGTTCATCACATTAACTATTCACATGTTCCACTAATGTTTGGCAGCCAAAAAGTGTCCAAATACTATATATCATAGATAAATGTATAAAGTTTTGTCTGTTAACAAACTCTTTGGTATTGTAGAGTTTTGCAGCACTCTGTGGATGTGACCGAGGAGGACCGGGGTCCCAGTCAGGGAAACAGAATGGAGATGTCCATCTTTTACGTCATTTATTTTGTGGTGTTCCCCTTCTTCTTCGTCAACATATTTGTGGCCCTCATCATCATCACCTTCCAAGAGCAGGGTGACAAAATGATGGAGGAGTGCAGTCTGGAGAAAAACGAGGTGACTGATCCCGTTTTTATGTTCATGTTACAAATCCAGCCGAGTACATGTGTGTACTATAGTAATGTGTATAGAAGCAATTGCACATACTTGAGGCAACACAAAGAAAAGTCTTGATATTCTTATGTGATTTGCTGTTGAATGTTTATCAGAGCGCTGCCACTTGTGCATACGGCATGAGTGCTTTTCATAAAAGTATTCATTTTCTTCACTTCAGCAGTCTCAAAGGACCTTTTGAATGAGAAGTGCTCCAGATTCAAGACATTATTTTGACATCCAAATATGTGTGCATGTCTTATCAACCAAAAGCTAATGTAGCTGAAATTGGCATGTGTATCTTCATTCATGGCAAACTCAGAGATAAATCTACTTCTGCACTTCCTTCCCTTTGATATCTTTTAGTTCCTATAGTCTTCAAAAAGAAGTAGGCCAGGAACAGTGTCAAAACAAAGTTAAATGGGTTCCTTTTGGTTTAGGTTACTGCATGCATGTTCAGGTTTATTTATAGTATATAGTCAATAATATATAGTCAATCGATAAAAAAAGTAACTAATTAACCACACATTTTTTCTGAAATTAATCGCGATTAATCCCACCTAACGTTAAAGTTATTAAATATACTTTTATATTGAAATAATTTCATATTCAATCTTTAAATTGATGAAGAAACAACATTAAGACTAACATGCGATTAATCCCACCTAACGTTAAAGTTATTAAATATACTTTTATATTGAAATAATTTAATATTCAATCTTTAAATTGATGAAGAAACAACATTAAGACTAACATTAAGAGTATATTTTTAATATTCATTTAATGACATCTTTTTATGACTGAAGGTGAATATCACTGATACCCTTCAGCAAGTAGGAAACAGTGGCGGCTCGTGGGTTTTAAAATAGAGGAGGCACACTAATTGTATTGGTCTGGGATCCCTGCCGATTATTATTATTATTATTATTATTATT